ATCACATCTTTTCAGTTCTCCACAGATCTGCTAGGGCTTGACCAGAGCCTCATGGGGGGAGGAAGCTCTTTCCCGATAAGTTCTGTTACCACCTTCCCCTGGCTGGTTTCATCCCCTGGCAGCTCTCCCCAGCACCTTCCCTACCCCATCACTTCCCTCCCCACCCCCTACCAGCTCTCAGACTTTTTTCAGTGCCTTTCTTCACTGACCTATTAACCCGAATTCATTTTCTCCCTTACCATTCCCACAACCATTGCAATCACAAATGATCTATTAATTCACAGTCATTACAACCATCACTGCAATTATCATTGTGTCTCCAACTTGAGCCATTTTGTATAAGACGAAGAGGATGCCACTAAGTGGAGTTTGAAAGGCGGCTGGTAATTTACTCATAAAAAGTAATGAAGGGTCTTCTTCCATCCCTGAGGTCCAGGGATGGGTTTTTCACTTGGAAACTAATGGGGGGACTTCAGAAACGGGTGCCAGCTAGTGGCGAGCAACTTCTATATATAAAAGTAGGGCTTTACTCTTCAAGGCAGCTATTGACTCCATTTTACAGATCAGAAAACTAAGACTTACAGAAGAGTTGTGAGGTTTACCATTGGACGGCGTATGACACATAAAGTGTATGATCCAACAAAGCAGGTGCAGTCAGGTCTGCCTTGCTCATCCGGTCTTTCCCAGTGCATCTCCCTCAACGCTGTCTCTCAGGCTCAAAGGAACATGCACGACTGGGATGCATAGGCTGATGGCTCTGTGGATAAAGAAGAGGGATTGGGTTTAGATGACTGAAAAATTCATCTCTGCCTCTCTTGCTTCCCCTCCCCACCTCTCATACCCAAGCAACGACATGTGCACCTCTCTCCATGGTCCTGAATCAATGTCTTGCCCAGTGCACAGTGATTTTCTCTGGCAAGTGAGGAGCAGGACTCATCTCCAGCCCTGTGCCCCTCCCCACCGCGTGCCATGCTTACAGCTGAGAATGAGTCTCTTGGTAATGATTCAAGGTAGCCCCAGAATTTCTAATGCCGAACTTCCTGGAAATTCCTGAAGCTTTTCTGTATGTTGCCTCTGCTTCCTCCCAAGAGGAAGGTGTTGCCTTGGTGTTGAAGTCCTTCATTCAGTGACCTGGGCTGGCCATGCAGAGAGCTGGAGGTGGCATGGGCTAGTGGGTGGGGCCAAAACCCAGATAACAGATATCTTTCCTGTGGGACCCATTGCCTTTATTTCATTCATGAATCTTCAATTAACTTGGAGCATTCCACTGGCTAAGTTCAGTGGTTAGAAAACAGACTCTCCTCTCATGCTTTTTCTCTTCTTTCATTCTTTACTTCCTCAAATACTTACTGAATGCCTCTTAGGGCCAGTCCCTAGGTTACATAAGAGGGACACCAAGCTTGAGGCTGTGCGGTCCCTGTCTTCAAGTCTAGGGCAAGAGATTGACAAAAGAACTAATGACACAAGGTGGGAAGGGAGGAAAAGAGCATGGTGTAAGATGCTACGGGAGCCCCAAGGAGGGACTGATTAATTGCTTGTGGGCACCAAGGAAAGTTTTACTGGAGGTGACTCTTGAAGGGTGAGAAGAGCTACGGAGGTAGCAACACGGTAATGAGGAAAGGCATTCCAGCAGAGGCAGCAGTCCACAAAAAAGCGCCGAGGCATAAAAATGTGTCCCTTTCGGGGCATGTGGCTGGCTCAGTTGGTCGAGAATGCGACCTTAATCTTAATCTCAAGGTCATGAGTTCAAGCTCCATGTTGGGCATGGAGCCTACTTAAAAATTTTTTAAAAATTAAAAAAAGAAACAAAAAATTCATTTAAAAAATGTGTCCATTTTATGGGGTGTCATGTGACCAGGCTTATGGCTTAAAGACCTGACCTTGGCTGTTGAGAAGAAGTCGGCGGGGGGCAAGGCTGGAGCAGAGAGACTAGTGAGGAGGAGGCTAGTGTAGCCTCTAGATGAAATCTATCGTGGGAGTGGGCTAGGGCAGTGGAGTTGGCTGGAAAGGTACAGACAGACCTGAGGGACATTAGAAAGGTTAGGAACTCATACCTGATTGTATTTGAGGATGAGGAGAGACAGAGAAGAAGCCTCTCAGCCGGGGTCATGCAGCTGGGACAGCTGTGGAGGGTGGGGACAGGCCCCCAGGAGGTCTGGCTCCAAAACCTGGGCTGCCCTTGTAGGGAGCTGCACCTGCTCCCGGTTGAGTCCTTGCCAGGTCCAGGTGCACCTGTGAGTCTCAGGATGGGCTGTTGCCTAAGCCCCCGCCCATGCCCCTCCTCAAGCCAGACCCACCTTCTCTTTAATCTCTCACTGGATGACACTCGTCCACTGTCACTGGGCACCCTGAGGTCCAGAGTCATGGACACTCACAACTTTCTGCCCAGACCTACCTGCAGACCTGTTGAGGTGTGAGACCACCTGTACCCACATTTGTCCAGTCTCCAAGGACGGCAGTAGTCTCCTCTGCTGCCTATAGTTGATCTCTGTGCTCAAGTTCAGATCTCTCTCTCCACTGCCCTGGGACATTGGGACACCAATCACTTCTTGGTCTTTTCAGCCTCTTCCTCTGACTGGATCTTTTTCTCTCCTGTTTTGATGAAATCCTCTATTTGTCTCACCCAGTTGTAACCCCCCCACTCCCCACAATGCCTACAAGACAAAATCCAGATTCCGTTTTGTGATAGACAGGGCCCTTCCTGACCTGGCCTTTCTTCCCTTCTCCAGTTGCTTCTCTCACACCTGTTCTGTGCTCCAGCCTCTCATTTATAAAATCGTCTAAGAACACTCCGTAACTCATAGGAGTGTTAGGATGCTCTAATGCTCTGCTGGATGGCAAGGTTTAACATGGTTCCTGGTCCAAGGTAGATGTATAAATAAGGTTCGGGATTATTATTATTATTATTCTGGTGGAGGTGGAGGAGTCTTGGTGGGCTTCCCCGAGGGGGTGGCATTGGAGGCAGTCCTCAAAGGATGGAGAGGATGTCATAGGTGGTTGAGGGGGAGCGGGAAGGCGGGCAGGAGAGTTGCACTGGCAGGTGCTCAGACCTGGAGGAGTTCGGACTGGCTGGGCCCAGAGGTTGTGGAAGAGAAGAGTAGAGGATAAAATCTGGAAGGGCAGAGCTAACCTGAGTTCAGACTTTGCTCTGGGGACAGTTGGGGGCTGTGGAAGATGCTGGGCAGGATCACTGGCTAAGCCACCATCATCTCCTTAAACTCGAGCATCAGCTCCCGACTCTCCACCTCCTCTCTGATCCCACCCCACAACCGCTGCCCGGGGCCTAGCACAGGGCCTGCCATCAATCTCTGTGGAGGGGAATGGTGGTGTGGGGAGTGCCCTGGAGAGGAAGAGCATAGAGCTGGGGGGTGGATCTTCAGGAGGCCGTTGTGCTGGCTTGAGTGAGGAGTGGCACGGACCCAGGGCATGTGCAAGGCTGCCGGGGAGGACTGCAATGGAATTGACCAGGAGAGGAAACTTATTGGTCGGGTGGCCTGGGACAGGCATTGTGACCGAGGACTCCAGGCTGTGACCAGTGGCGAAGAGCACAAGGCCAGGAGCAGATCTGAGGCAAAGCAAATCTGATGGCATCAAACACTGTGGCAGGAGGTGGCTCTAGGAGCTTGACTAGGGAGCCATGGGGTAGGGCAGGGGGTTGGTTAGGTTTCTCCGAGAAAAGGACAGGACCTGGGGGAGGGTGGCGCCCTCATGAAGAGAACAGAGAGGTAAAACGTATCCTCCCTGAACTTCAACTTCTTTAAAAGTGGACAACATCCTGCCAATCGCACAGGATTGTGAGATCACTCAAAGAAAACGTATCCTCCCTGAACTTCAACTTCTTTAAAAGTGGACAACATCCTGCCAATCGCACAGGATTGTGAGATCACTCAAAGAGATCATTCAGGTACCATCCTTAGCAAGCTGTCCGGCACAAAGTAAGCGTTCAATAAATCATCACCACCACCACCACCACCATCATCAAGGGACTCAACTACATTTCCATGCTGAACTCCGGAGCCTCCAATAATTGGAAAATAAAATAACCAAATGAGTGGTCTTAGACCTTGAAGGCAGTCACACCTTTAGGGGACTCCTGCCTGTAGCTATTCTAGAAGTCCAGGAAGCATCAGAGAGTTCCAGAGCTAAAAGAGTCTGGAGGTCACAGGCCAGCCCCGGCCAGCAGGTTGACTCCTGAACCATGCCGGGCAGGGGTGTGGCACCTCCATGGACATGCTTGGGACACACCTCCTATCGAGCCACTCCAGGACCTCCCAAGATCCTTTCTGGCCATCCCCACACTCACCCACCTGCTTTCACCAAATTAAATAAGGCCGAGAAAAACCAAGCTCACTGAGAAAGAGTAAAGCATCAAATGGGCCCCTGTGAAGCCTGGCGTGGCTCCCCACACACCCCAGCCTCTCTAGTTCAAGCCCAAGATGCCCGCCTTTCTGATGTGATTTGGGAAGTCGACTTGGCTGAACAGGGATGTGGTTCCTGGGTAGGAAATGCGAGAAGGGAGGATCAATTGTACTTTTTTTCCTGTCGTGGACGAGGGGGTCACAGAGGAAAAGAGGCAGGCACCTCGGGCCACAGAAAAAGCCAAGGGGCCGTCTTAGTGTGGCTGTAGCAGTGAGCCTTGGGCAGGGGTCCAGGGAGGCCTGGCTTACCTGCTCCTGCCAGCTCAGCATGGCCTGGCCCCGGCCCACCCTCCCACACCCTCAGTCTCCACCTGCCGCCTGTCTCATCACCGTCCTGAGAGGAAGTGTCCTGCATTGCTTGGTTCTGCTTCCAGTGAGGGGCAGGCTTGGTTGGGGGTTCCCACAAGGGGTGTGGGAGTCCAGGCCAGTTCTGCAGGAGAAGCCTGCTTCCTGTCCCCAAGGTGGGTGCTGCAATGTGGGCTGTGGTGGGGGCTGGGTGGGTTCGGGAGGTGCAGGCAAGGGGCCCCCCGCAGGTCTGCTGGGAACAGCCTTCCCGAAGTCTCTGACTCCGTCTCTCTGCAGTCCCGAAGTAGCGTGCAACAGGGGGACCTGGATGGGGCCCGGAGGCTGGGCCGCCTGGCCCGGTTGCTCAGCATCACCTTCATCATTATGGGGATCATCATCATCATTGTGGCCATGACCGTCAATTTCACAGGTGAGGCTCAGCCACATGGAGCTGAGTGAGCCAGCTTGCTCGGGGTGAGGACCACGGAAGGGTGCAGCCCAGCTCCCTGGGGAGGGGGCGGTGGGGAATGGGGTAAGAGCCTGTGGGGGACACGGGCTGATCCTCTCTGAGAAGCGACCCCATCCCCGGCAGGTCCCAGCCGAGTGGGACTGGCTTCTGCCTTGCCTTATGCCCAGATCATTAGGAAAGGGTGTGGGAAGAGCCGGGGGCCTGGGAAGCAGAGGTGGCCAGCTCCGGTCTCCGCTGTGAGGGCCTTGGGGCCTGGGCCAGTGTCATGTCTGGCTGAGCTTTGTGAGCGTCACCGAGGATCGTGGTTGTGATGCCACTTGGTGAGCGGTGGGCCTGCCCTGCAAGCATTCCTGTTGGGACGGCCAGCACAGACCAGACATAACCAATGCATTGGTGGAAGCCTGGCAGTAACTCTTGTGAGCCCCAGAGCTGGCCCAGGGAAGTTAACCCCGCAGGGGCACCATTTTCAAGGGTGACTCTCAGCTGCTCAACGGCCGGTGCAGCTCCCAGTGTCTGGGCTCCGGGGGGCGGTTTGTCCGTTTCCCTCCCTTCACATACCCACCTTGCGAAGCGCCCCCAAGCCTCTCTGCCTCTTGCACTGGTCAGTCTAAGCTCTTCCCCTAAAGACTTTGCTGCTCCAGTGGCTGCTGACACCAGGAATGTGTCAGGAATGCAGAGTCTCAGGCCCCGGCCCAGAGCCACTGAATCAGAATCTGCATTTCAGTAAGATTCCCGGCCCCGGGCCTTAAAGGAGGCACTGAGCTATAGAACACGGGGGTTCAACCTGTGGCAGAAAGCCTGGGATTCAGCGGTGGGGTCATGGGCAACCTTGGCTACTTTGGAGAGGGAAGACGAGCTCAGGTGTGTAATCAGCTTGCCCGGCTTCACAATCCACGGCCCCCACTGTGCAAGTGTCGGAAATGAAGCGCGTTCCGTGCTCGCTGTGGGGCAGGGGCCCGCCCGTGCGGGCATTAGCTCGGGAGCACCCTCTATGTGCCTCAGTCCCCTCTGCCCTCCCGCCGCTTGTCATGCTCACCATGACTTCGTCGACGGCAAATGACCACTACTGAACTCAAATTGGCAAAGGGAATCGTTTAAAAAATTCAGGCCTCGAGGGTTCTCTGTTTGGGGGTCGTGTGGCGCTGCGAACCCATGCCTTGCCGCAGGTGGGAGCTCCTTTCCACTGAGAGACCCCAATCAGACGACCCTGGTGCCGTTTCCTGCCCGGAAACAAAACCCCAAATCCCCCAAACAAGCTCTATTCTGCTGTGACTGTTCTTCTCTTTACAGTGCATTAGAAATAAAACAGACCAGGGCGCTGCGCAGGCGGAGGCTGGCCCCCGGAGGCCTCCACTCTCACGCGCCCCCCCTCCCGCGGGAGGGCAGGATGGTGATGTCCCTGCGCTCCCAAAGCACGAACTTGGAGGACAGCCCCCAGGTCTCCCCACTGTCAGCCCACCTCAGATGTGAGAAGCGGGAAGAATGAAGGATGGGGTTTAATCTCGCGGACGCTGCCCGGTATCTGGCCTCCGTGCGCCGGCTGGTTTCTCATCCCCACCGTTTCCTGGGACCCACCACACAGCACATACTGCCTGTTTGAGGAGGAACCAGACCCGCGGATGACACGACGAGAGGGACCGGACGGAGGCAGGAGAGAAGCAGCACACTCCCTGCGTGTCTGAGGACCGGGAGCCAAGACGTGGGACTTTCTCTTTTGTATTTTTCTTGGGTGGGGGGGTGGGGTGTAAAAAAAGACTATTTGCATGCCTTGTGCCACAGGCTTGCTGCGATCGCAGCTCAGGGGCCCAGCTGCCGCCCGGCGTCTGCCCTGGGACCCCCTTGGGCACCAAAGATGAGCAGCTGGAGAGAGGTGACAGCCACAGGCATGACAAGTGGAGGCACCAAGAGGTATGTTGGTGAAGACACGACCCGCAGACTTCTTCTGCTTTTCAGTCTCAGGAGCCCCTCTGCTGAGAACTCTGGTCCCAGCGTGTCTCCCAGGATGACCCAGTCTACCTCTCGCTCCCTCCCCTCCCTGTGCTGTCGCCTGGGGCCTGACCCCAGCCCTGCTCAGCCAGCCAGGAGCAGCCCGGACCTGAGCTCGCCTCCAGCCATGGCCTCCCTGATGGTCTAGGCGGCACACTTGGGGCACCACGCGGAGTGGCTCAGGTGGGCCTTGGGCTCCGGCTCCCAGCCTAGCGGCACCCGATACCCTGTGCCTGACTTACCCTGTGCCCCTGGCCATCCACACACCGCAAAGGCTCTTTCCCTGCAGGGGGTTTGGGGACCACCTCTGGGGGGAGGACTTGCATGAGCTCCCAGGCTGTAAGCAGGGGGGTGGGCCAGAGGGTTTTTCTAAAGGTTTATTGTTGATTTGGTCTAGAGAGTTCTAAGACAGAGGGAAGAGCCTGGCTGAAGGGGCCAGTCTTTGGGGGAGTGGGAGGTCCTGGGCTTGGGAATACACTCACATGCCCGGAGGCAGGGGGCGACACTATGGCCTCTGTCTCAGGACCTAATGGGACACCTGAAAGGACTGAGCAGGGTCCTTTGACCTCCTGCCTGGTTTCTGGCCCTGGGATTCTCCCCAGACTTCCACTGGCGCAGGCTCTGCCCACAGGAGCCTCTCCTATGCCCACCTACCTCGCTAGCTTCAGCTCCCAGACCCTCAGACAGGAAAGCTCCAGGCTTTCCCGCCCTGGGAAGCCCTGCCCAGCAGCCAGGGTTACTGCCCTTGCTGGGAGGGCTTGTTCCCAGCCGCAGCCAGACTAGCCCCAGGCTGGTGTTTCCCTGGCACCCATTCAGGGTTCCTGCCTGTCTCCCCGACGCTCCTCAGAGACTCCTGGGAGGGAGTGTGTTAGCACAGAGGCTCTGTCTACCAGGAGGCGTCCTAGGTGCAGCTCCGAGAGGTCTAGGAGGGCCTTCATGGCAGGAGAGGGGTGTAGGGCCCAGGGGCCCTGGGTGGGTCCCTCTGGGGCCTGCGTTCCTGCGTCAGTTCCCCACCTGGGGAGCAGACTCCAACCTCTCCGGACCCTAAAGGAGGGGCTGGCTTTGCTTTACAAGACCTTTGAGGCCACAATAGAGATGCCTCTGTTGAGGGAGGGAGGGAGTGAGCCCAGAGGATTTGTGTCACTTGTGAAGGCAGCTCAGGCCAGGAGGTGAGTCATGAGGTCTACGGAACAGGTGGCTCACGAGCTGGTGGTCTCCTGGCAGCCCCGGGGGCCCCAGCCTCAGCACTCCAGGGAGAAGAGGCAAAGTAACCAGCCGGTTTAGGCATGATCTTGTAGGGAAAACGATGACCAGGGTGGGGCTCTATCTGTGGACTCTGTGCGCACTGTGACCGGCATACACACCCCAACCTGCCCCGGGCCCCTGCAGTCACACCCGCATTTCACACCTGCACAGACACACACTTGGTTCACACTCAAAGCCCAGAACAGTAGAGAAAGAGGGAAGCCACTGGCGGACAGCCACAGGACAGCTGGGACACCCATCGATGTACGCGAGGACAACTTAGGAAACTTCTAGTTGTACCAAGGGAGGAGCTCAGAGGCGCTGAGGGTTGTGGAAGGAGCCTGATCCCCCTGGCGGGAGGAGCACAAGCCTGAGGACCAGGAACCCTGCAGAGATCCGACTGGGAGGGAGGTTCCCCTGACTCCCCTGCCGCCTCCACCCACAGGCAGCTTGGCACCCCAAGGCCTCACCCCCTGCTCCCAGCTCCATCATCGGTCCCGCCGCTGGCTGCCCGAACCCAGCGGTCCTCCAGCTTGGGGTGCTGCTGCAGCCTCTCCCATGTCCAGGGGAAGCAGCGAGAACTACTCCCCCCACCCCGCCCCACCCCTGCCCCACCCCGCCGCCACCCAGCACCACACTCTCCAGTTGGCTCCTCTGTATTGCTTGGCATGGAAAGAAATAAAGCTGAAAGTGCACGTGCGCCATGGGTCTGTGTCTTTGTGCTGCTGGGCTCCAGGGGTCCCCAACAACAGGGGGCAGGGGGGAATGTACTCAGCCTGTCGGTTCCAGGGTCAGGGCTGGGAGCTGGGCAGTGGGAAGCCTGGGCACGCTCGAGGTGTTCCCCTGGGCAAGTTTGTCCTCCCCGGGCCTCAGTTTCTCCAGTGAGGAATGCCGGATCCACCTTCCCTCTGGGGTCCTTTCTGCATCTGGACAAAGACCTAGGGCACGGAAAGAAGAGAGCGGGAACCCGACACCTGCTCACAGCCTGGCACATGCTGGGCATTTCACACACACGGGTGTTAGCCCCAGGGTCAGATTGGTCAATGGAGGCTCAGAGATGTTCAGGGATTTGTCCCAGGTCACACCGCGCCTGGCACATGGGAGGTCCTGAATAAATGTTGGTGAACCGACCCTATCTCTGGGGCTGACCCCGAAGCTGGCTTCTTGCCCCCATGCTTTGCTACGCAGAAAGGAAAGCCTTGTGGAAGGCAGGCAAATTGCCAGGGCGGGCGGGGGGGTGGGTCGCTTCCTGAGCCTGTTTGCACTCAGCCCGGTGGTCACTGCGGGCCTTCTACATCACTCAGCTTCCAGCTGCCTCTGCATTAAGCACCTACTACACACCAGGCCTTGTACTGGACCCTGAGGACACCAAGATGAAAGGGACAGGCTTTCTGGACCATATGACCTTTGACCTAAAGGGAAAGTTCTGGAAAGAAGGAGAGAGTTCGTTGCTGGGGTCAGGGTAAGAGAGGGTGCCCTGGGTAGATGAGGACAACAGGGAGGGGAACCTGGGACAGAGGTCAGGGGAGCCAAGAGCAGGAAGGTGGCCTCAGCCAGGAGCCTCTCCTGATCTTTCCGAAGATATTTAACCACCACCCGGGGATCCAAATGAAGATGAAATGCCACCATTGTAATGCTACCAATTTAATAAGACTCAGGTGAATGGACGCTTCCTATGCATGGGCTCTGCCAGTCACAATCATGTCCCCTTAGTGCCTGGCTTAGAGGCCTGAAAGCATCGTTCGTCAGACACAACCCA